GCTTTCAAATCATTAGCACAAGGCTCAAAGGTCAACCTTTGTCGCTTCGGCCACAAGAGCTCTGCGTTGCTACAGCTCTCCAAAGAGTTGCCAACAATTATCCCCTCAGCCAGAGCAGAACTTAGCGTTGCTACAACTCTCCAAAGAGTTGCCAACAATTACCACCTCGGCCAGAGCAGAACTTAGCATTGCAAAAGCTCCCCAAAGAGTTGCCAACAATTACCACCTCGGCCAGAGCAGAAACTAGCGTTGCAACAGCTCCCCAAAGAGTTGTCAACCCTCATCACCTTGGCCAGAGTAGAGTTTAATGTTGCAACAGCTCTCCACGAAGTTGTCAACCCTTACCACTAAAAGTCCTTGTACTATATGAATAACTGTACCCGGACTTGCGGGACTATTGTTACGGGCCTGTGTCAGACCCGCCACCTCACCCGCTGTGTGTCAACAGAGGTGGCCCGAGCATTCCACGCCTCAACCGAGGTGATTGCTCATGGGCCGATCTGACTGGATACCGAAGTGATCACACGAGGAACGAACCGAACACGCGTCAGCAAACGAACCGGACTCATCCACGGGTACGCAATGGATGCAAAGGCCCGCAGTCCGCTTCTACACTACTGCAACGCCTCACCTGCCTCACCTCGTCGTCAAAGATCTCTTATTCAGAGATATTTCAAAAGTCAAATCCCTGACTGATGGGACGTGGGCAGGCCCCCAAACGGTCAATTCAACCGCTATGTCAGAAAGTATTCAATTCCCACCAACCTATGGATTGACAAGTTGATGCCTAGGAGAGGACTGCCCTTCAAGATCTGAAGCCACGTGCCTCCTTATCCAACGACTCTCCTCTTCCCATCTTTGGTATAAATACTCACTCCTTGTGCTTTAAAGGGGTCTCTCTCTCTCTCTCTCTCTCTCTCTCTCTCTTTGCTAGGTCCATGATATTACACTAAACTTAAGTATTATCTTCTCTCCCATATTGTTGGCATTTTTATACTTACTCAACCATTTTTCGGCGAGTGTCCTACCGCCGGTGAACCTCCTTGTTGAATATTAAGTTGACTTGACCGTCGGAGTGCTTGCGCCCACCCCCTTTCAGGAAAGGCCTCAAGCGACTGACGGT